ATATATAGTATTTGTCTCAATACCTACAATCTATGCCTATGTCTCAATCCAGACAGAGAGGTAAAAGGAATGAGATGGATAATAAACATGATAGATAGATAGATGATAAATAGAAGGCAAGCAGCTAATATTAGAGGTCACATAACAGGCACTGTTTGATGGTTCCCACGTAAAACCTCATTAAACAATCATTTGACACAGAGAGCATTTGTCATCATACAGATCGGAAAACCCTTTCCTCCTTTACTCTAACTTTATCCATTGACAAATACCCTGTCCCTTTCCAAGTGTTCCATGCTATAGGTTTTGACTCCTCAGGGATACAGGTAAAATTTACTTCAGGACCCTTTAAAAAAGAATGAGAAGACTACACACAGCCTAAAAAGACAAACTCCAAAAGACTCAAAGGACTTAGTGTTGTGAGCCATAGGAGGAAATGTCCCTCGTCCACATCTATATTTTAAGCAATGTTCTGTCACTGAATTGCTTCATGACCTGGAATCCACCACCTTTAATCTAAAAGGTCCTAAGAGGATGGAGTTTTCTAGGGATTGATGCTGACGGTCCACCTGTCCACTGCCTTTATGTGACCCTCTGAGACAGGACTCCAAGACAATTTTAAGAAGCCCATTCAAAACCCCCAGCAACCTCAGGCAAAAGGGCACGAGAAGAGCCCAGCTCCAGACTGTCACTTCAGATGTGGAAGGTTTCTAGTGTCCCTGCCCAGTGCAGACAGCCAACTTCAAGGCTTCCTGGAGATGAAATATGAGAGAAGATAAACTTTGCTTTCATCTTTAAAAGTATCAAAAATAAATAACATCAAAACGCAGGCTGGGATAAGAAAGCCTCCAACGTGCATACATAAGTAATGGTGTGTTAATCAGTCCCAGGGGATCACCCGTGCTTGCTGGACTGTTCTTGGAATAAAATGGGGATGGGCAGAGAAACTCACTCAAGGACTCCGCCTAGAAAGAATGCCACTCTGCACCATGTGCTACACCTTCCGTCCTCTCTTAGTCAAAAGAGACACCATCGATCAGTCTCTGAGCCTCCCCACTCCAGGAGGATCCACAAGCCTCTTTGCTATCCCCGCCACTTTTTAAGTGGAGAAGCCAGGCTGATTCACTAAAATGAAATCTCTTCCTGCAAAATCCAGTAAGATGTGATACAGTTTTGATCTGTGAGCCGAGGGGTTTCTCCACAGCTATTAAATCCTTCGGGAGACACTTCACACCCACCATGGTGCGATCATTAGAGATATGTCCGACAGTGAGTGTTGACAAGGATGTGAAGAAATTGAAACTAGCGTACATTGTTAGTCGGAATGTAAAATAGTGCGGCTGGTTTGGAAGTGAGCCTGACAGTTCTTCAAAAGGTTAGATACAGCGTTACCACGTGACCCAGTAATTCTATGCCTAGGTATATGAGGTATGATAAAAAAATGGAGAATATTTATTACAGTGAAAGACACACTACCATTAGTCCCTTTCAAAACACCTCCCCTTACTTTAAACACACTTAGCCCATCACTCTTGCACTTTTTAAAGTAGATTTCTTTACAGAATGGCGAAAATGTTGGGGAATTAGTAGTGCTGGTTGTACAATATTGTGAATATACTAAAAGTCACTCAGCAAGATGTACGATATTAAAAACTCCAGAGGGAGAAAGTCAGTTTTTTGAGTACTATCTCCCAGGGCTAATCTCCTGATGGTAAGACCGCGAGGCTGGTGCCAGAGTGGTTTACGGGGGAGGAAACCAGCGTCTGGACAGGACTCATCAGTTGCCCAACATCACCAGCTCTAAGACATAGAGCCTCCGATTCTGCCAAGCCCACCACCTTCCTGCTCAGGGCTGCAGTTTTGTTTCTTACTTTCCCAGACAGTGACCATCAGAAACCTTCCACTGAGTCTCAAGCTCCTATCCGGAATGGACTTGACCATTGTGACGTCTTACTGAGGTAGGCCAGGCCAGCAGGCCAATCCTATTTTCAGAAAGTTGGTGGGTTACCCAGCTCCTCTCTGTTCACATTTGCCAGATGCTGCACCATAAGCACATCTGCATTTCTTGGGTGTGTAGGGAAGGAACTTCCTACAGAGGCAATGGAGAGACGTAAGGAGGGAGGAGAGGCTAATCAGTGGGTGTGGGGTCCTCTCCCCAGGAAATGCACAGAACTCTCCTGAAGGTGATACCTCTCAGCCCTGTCTTTGGATCCTCCCCCTCCTACCAGAAGTTACCATCAGCCAGACTTTGAGGCAACCTCTTAACTATACCCTTCTTAGCTGGAAACTGCAAGGGCCCAGGCTCCATCTGTCCAAGATGCCCTACATGTTTTGCTTCTTCGTAAATGAACCAATCTCACAACTCAATGACAATCACACATGGCTCACTGAATTCCCAGCTTTCCTCAGGTCTGGGAGGTGAGGGGGAGACCATAAGCTGTCAGCCTCTTACCAAGCCCTACCTATGTTTTGGGGGGCAAGGCTCCAAAGAAAAGTTATTTCCCATTTTTCTCCTCAGACCATCCTGCCTTCTTTACCCCTTCATGACAAGTATCACTTTCAAAATAATTCTAAAACTAAAATGGCCAATGGCTAGTTTAGGACTCTTGCCCATTTATCTCCTTGAAGTGGGCAAGAAATGCAGCAAAATGTTTTGTGTACAGGAGTACTGGGGATTTAACCCAGGGCCTTCACACTAAGCTACATTCCTAGCTCCTTTTTATTTAGAGACAGGGTCTGACTAAATTTTAAGTTCCCCAGGATGGGGTTAAACTTGAGATCCTCCTACCTCAGCCTCTCAAAGTGCTAGAATTACAGGCATGTGCCACCATACCCAGCTAAAATACAGTAATTCTTATTTCAATTATAATCCACTGGGTCAAAACAATGGGTTTTTTTGGTTTTTGTTTTTTGGGTTTTTTTTTTTTTTTTTTTTTGCCTCAAGAGTATGGAATATGCATTACTGAGCTACAGAGAGGAATCAGTGTGGATCCTAAATACCCCTGAGGTAATACAGGCCCATCCTTCATGAGGCCAAGGGCATCCAATGGGTGGAAATACCCAGAATCTACAGGATAATCATCCTGAACACTTGTGCTTATCAGGTGATGCTACTCTTGGGCTTTCACATCTTTTTTTTTATCACATTATTTTTATGGGATTTGTTCTATTAATAAGAAATGAAGCACAGGATCTGGGCAAATGAAGGAGCAAGACCACAGCCCACTCCCCCAGCCTGCTGAGGCCCTCGCTACTCCACTGATGATCTCAAACCCAAGAGATGCGCAGATCAGCAGTGTTGAAGTCCTATGGGCCCTGTAAAGGTCCTAAGAGCACAGGCGGAGTTCAGGAATAGCAGCTCGTTTTTCTTACTTAACTGGTGTGGCAGAGGCTGTACAACAGATGTAAGGGAGCCCTGGGGTCACAGATCTGCATTAACTGACAGGTAAAACTTCATTTCTCTTCAGATGCTCAGTGGTGTGAAAATCATTATTTGTAAATTAGCCATAAGTTCTTTTGGAGAATTTATAGCGAATTCCATTGTGTATCACCAGGAAACCAGCCTAGAAGAGCCCATGTCCCTGAGATCCAGGCGTCCTGGGCACCTCTCCTTCTTCAATACCTCCCATACTTGCACTCGGGAGCTCTCCTCTTTGCTGTGCTCCTCTGGGTAGCAAGTAAGACCAAGGAAGAACAGGCTCTCTCCTCTGTGGGGCCAGTAAGCCATCCCACCAGGATTTGAACCTTCAGATTTTCGGTTGGATCCACCTGTCCCAGGTACTGCCGGACCCACCCCCTCTCAAGTCCCCCTGGTATTTAGCAAACAAAAAGCCTTCCAGTATTGCCTTTTAGGCATTCACACAACACAGCACTCCATCCACACCTCCAAGCATAGGAAGCCATTTGGCAGGACACCAGTATTAAAAAAATAAGCTGCATGACATTTATTTTGTCTTGTTAACATTAATATCTGTAGAAACATTTTTATTGTCAGTATAAAAATTAACAGGTTTTATTAAATATTTTTTCCAATTTTATAACACATAAAATCAGTGTCATCTGCTTTCATGTCGCATGGCTATAGCAAAGTGAGTGGGTGTTTCGGAAGCAAAACACAATACCTTAATACAGAACAAACAATACAGTGATATTTTGTCCGATGTCAGTATGAGGCCATATCTTTTGGTGAGGTCTTGTCAACAGCCAGAAGCAATCCCCTAACAAAAAAGGAACAAAATCCCCTGAACTCTCAACCAAACAATTCTGTGTTTCCATTTTCTGTGATGGGACTCGACGATCCTAAAAGGTTTCTCTGATGCCCAAGAACCGGGAAACCATTATCGAAATGCACCAAAGGGAACACAGGCTTCTCTGACAATGTGGGACGCTGGTGGAAAGCCAGCTGCCAGAGCAAGCCCACTGCTACCACTGCAACGTTCGGTCTGTTTCGGGGGATGGATTAAGGCATCTTTGAATGAGGACATTGCTACATTTGCCTTGCAAAGTCCAGTTAAACGTTTTGTTGGCCGAAGACAGAGTTGAGTGTCAAAACAAAATATCTTCCTAATATCGAGTTCTTGTAATCTGGGCATTCAGGTGGTCTGAGCACAATCATCTGACAGCAGAGTTATATGCAAATAAACCGAAACTTTGTTTTCTCCAAATTAGTCCTATGTTGTAAATATTTTTCTTCTCAAAGGACCGGATAACTAGTTAAGTCCAAGCAATAGATCAACTAGTCGCTGTACTGCCTGCCTAGAAATGCCACTTAAATTACAAAAAAAAAAACCCTATGATTGTTTTGTATATTACCAATTCATTAATAAATTAATGTTATACCATTTTCCCTGAAAGCAAAAAGTATTTTTCCCACCTCTGCTTGGTGAAAATTAAGAAATTCTGTATAAGAACAGCATTTAGCAAATAGCTATTTAAAAAAAGAGACCAATTTTTTTAGGTGCATTGGGACATCCATTTAAAATCAATACAAAAAATAATTCCTTGTAAATATATAATATATATTTATACATAATTTGAATATATTTACATACATCCAGCACCTATATACTACATTTGTGCTCTGTAAGTGTGTGCTGACATATATTTTCTCCAATTATTACAAAATTAACAAGGAAGGCAGAATGTGTGTCTGCCTTGAGTCCGAGTGAGGCACAGCCAGTACCCACGGGGGTCAGAGGGGTGGTATGGTGGCTCGTGGCTGTCCACTGCTCCAGAAATAGTCCTTTCCTGGTGAAGATGACAAGTTTCCAATGGATAAATCTTTACACATGTGCCGATTACTTTTCCAATTATTTACTCCTCTGATCCATATATACAAGCACAGACAACAAGCTCTTGGAGGCGTGGCCTCCTAGCTCAGTGCAGGTAGGTTCCTGACACTGTCCTTTTGGGGGACAGGAAGACACATTCGTTCATGTTTTAACACTGCCGTTTATGTGTGGATACTGAGGCAGGCAGGGTTCATAAGGCATGGGGTCCGGAGAAAACACAGAGTCATCTCCTGAAGAACAAGAGCTCCTTGTGTCAGGGGAACTAGGTGAGTACTGTTCCAGAGGCTGACTGAGGTCCAAGTATTCCTGAAAGAAGGGAAGAGAGATGTTTTATTTCATCTCAGGTCAGGATAACAAGGTGAGTACGGTTCGAGAGGCTGACTGAGGTCCAAGTATTCCTGAAAAAAGGGAAGAGAAAAGTCTTATTTCACACACAGGCTCCTGAGATGTTGGTATCGCAGCTGGGAAAGCACAAGAGTAACAAGGTTTGCAGAGGCCTAGCCCATCCTGAGACCCCAAGTTCTTTCACTCTGGGCTGCCCTTAACTTCTCTCTTACAACTATCTTGAATAAATTTCTGGCAGGCAGAGAACAATAAGTTCCTATTGAACTTAGGAGATGGGTGGTCATCTCAATCTATGGCAGTGACCCCTAGCTAGATATATACCTCCTTGTTAGAGTGCGTGGTTCAAGTTTGGGGCCCAGCAAAGTAGAAACACAACAGTCTGTGGATCCCCAGGACCCCTTTAAGTAGTAAGACCATGAATACATATTATCTGAATTACATTTTACTATTGTAATTTCTAGGACAATTTAAGGGGAATATTTCTTCATTCAACACATAATTTAACAAATGTAATTTGTTACTCTCAAAAGCTCTCTGAGCTGAAAGTGTAAAGTGGTTCAAAAAGGCTTGGATACACTTGTGTACGTTAAACCCATAAGAGACTGTTAAAGGAATTAGAGGTTAGGTTTTAAGAGTTTTGAAAGTTTGAAATTCAAGTTTTTTTCTGCTTCTCAAGAATCACGGATGTTGCTGCGGAGGCCTCCCGGAATACCAAGGATAACATTTCCTACCAGGCCAGGGCAAGAGCCCACTGCCTGTTTTTCTGTGGCCCATGAGCTCAGGATGGTTTGTAACATTGTAAACAGGTGGAAAAACTCAAAAGAAGAGTAATATCTTATGGCATTGGAATGACATAAAATGATATAAAATTCCAATTTCAGGGTCCATAAAGTTTTAGTAGAACACAGACACTCATTTATTTACATATATAGTCTGTAGCTGCTCTCATACTCTGATGGCAGAGTTTCGACAGACACCATATGGCCTTTGGAGCTGAAAATATTTACTCTCTGGCCCTTTGCAGAAAGCATTTGCTGACCCTGTTCTGAAGCTATGAAAAGCTTTCTAAGCAGGGCCCTTCTCAATCTCAGTGCTTCAACTGAGCTGGCACATTGGGGTGGCTCTGCTCACACATTCAGAAGCCAGCGACTCTTGTATGACATGTGGTTTTGCTGACAGGGGGGCGGAAAGTGCAGACCACAGCACAAACAGCCTCTGCGTTATCAGAAAAGAGCCCACGGAATGTTGGCGACTATACATCCTGAAAGACCAAAAAGCACTATAATTCATCACCAGGGTTGGCAAGAGAAAGAGTCCCTACCCAAGAAAGGGGATGTGTCAGTTCCAACAACATCGGCCATAACCACACAACTCAAAACAAACACGCCCACCACATCAAAAAAGAATTTTTTGCTTACAATGATAAAAATGAAATTTGGTCCTAAATGGAACCATTTTGCTCGAGCATATGGTAATGATTTTCAGAAGGAAAGAAACTTCAATTTTTATATCCGTTAGACAATATGGAATTCTGCTTTTGCATTTTAGGACAGGACATGTAAGTTCCAGTATGAATGGACCCTCTTTAAAGATATAAATAAATATACATATATGTACATTTATGTATACATAACATTGAGCATGGACATGGGATACTTAAAGGAAGACTTCAGTGGTTTTCCCACTTTCTAAATTAACCCATATACTTTCAGATCTGATAGGAAAAAAAAAAAAAAACAAAACAGGAACATCAGTGAATCGCAAGCCTAGGGTTAAAGGAACTTACACTAGAAACAACAATTTTGGCAGAAGAAGAAAGTTGGGTTTTGTTCCCTCCCTTGAACTGTTCCTGTTCTTTCAACTTCTGAAGGTCAGCTGTGTTCATTTAAATGCAATCTCTCCCTTCATCCAGCACAAGCCACAGTCAGACACACAAAATAAAGCTGCTGGATCGAGGTTTCCTGTCACTACTCTTACTGCTTTCTAAAGAAATCACTTTAAAACATTTTCTGAATCAGAAATTGAGTATATTATTTTTCCTCCAGAATATTGGGAGATCTTCACCTTTTCTGTTATGGTTTTAAAGACAGCTATGCAACTCTGGCTTCCTTCTTCTTTTGTATGAAAAAACACTGATCTTCATTAGATATCTCAAATTTCATGTGTTAACCATTTCTATCCGTGTTTTCTTGGGCTACATGGTTTACCATCTTTCTTGCTCAGAGTATATATCCTTTCCATAGCCCTAAATGCTCACTTCCTCTGCACACTGAAGCAGCCACAGATAGGGCTGAATTTGAGCTTTGAGTGACAGCAGTGTTCCTTTAGTTGGTATAGATTATAAGTCAAAACTACTTTAGCAACAGGTACCAGCTTTCACTTCCTATAGAGAGCTTTGTATGTGTTATATGCAATAGAGACACAAGCTTGGGTCACAGTGGACAGCGCTGTGCCCCATGGAAGGTGGGATTATAAAACCGCACTGCATATGACCAAGCTAATCACCAATGCAACATTGGCTGCTCTCATGCTAACTGCCAGGGCACAGAATAAAACGAGCAGCTAACACAAACCCATGCTCCTTCCCACCCATGCTAAAAGGCTACAACTCTACTTTTCTTCCCTCCCGCCTCTCCTTCACCATACCCCGAGCCTCTCCACCACCAACCACCACGAGAACAGTCAGGGATGGCTCTCAGACTTGGGTCTGAGTCAGAATTGACAAAATGCAGTTTGGAGAAAAATCCTGACTCGAAAGGAACACATAATTTAACTCTGTGTGATTCCTGTGGAAAAATGAGAAACTACACCACAGACGCCCACAGAAGAGTCTGTATATAAAAAAAGTAAGCTCCTCTCCCCAGCTAGGCAAGGTACCCTGGCTTCTGGAAGAAGCCTCTTACCTCATTGGTTGTGAGAGTAAGAATTCGGTCCAAGTCTTCTACCAACTGCTTGAACGTTGGTCTCTGTGAGGGCACTGCATGCCAGCAGTCCCTCATCATCATGTACCTGGAGAAAGGGATTTCTTGGGTGAATCAATCTCATCCAATACTACAGACTACAGCCAGCTTTAATGTGGAGGCAACATGGAGAAGTACCCTAAATAACGGAGATGTAACAGGACCTTCCAACCAGTGAGGAAGTGGTCATCCACTCTACAGATCTACCGCTTGGCTTCTTAAGGACCCTGATTTACAAACCCCACTTTAGCCTTCAGGAAGATATCTGTGCATCAAGAGTTGTCTATATGTGTCCCTGGTATTAACAGTGGGCACATCACAGTGGTGTCACACTTGTAAGACATTTTTGGAGGTTCAGGGACAAGACCTATGCGCTTGCAGTTACTCTAAATCTTCCTTCGCAACTACTTCTTCCTGAACCATGCTTCGGGTTTTAACATTTTTTTTTAAATTAATTTTATTGGTACATTTAAGGTAATGACATTCATCATTAGAAATTTGCACCTTTACATAATCCATCTTGGTTTTTGTTTTTTCAAAGCAATTCTAACATTTTGTGGTTCAATTTTTATTTTATTTTATTTTATTTTATTATTTTTTTTAACCAGGGATTGAACTTGGGACCTTGTGCTTGCAAGGCAAGCGTGGCACCACTGAGCTAAATCCCTGGCCCTTGGTTTTAAGATTCCAATTGACAAAAGTTCCTCAGTTAAAAAAAAAAGTCTGTAAACCACAACTTTAAGGTAAAGGATTTTATGAACTAATCTGCCACTGCTGAGATGGATACTAACTTCCTGATTAACTCTTAGGTACACACGGTTCCCAGCCTTATCTTGCTTTTGAGTTTCGACAGACCCTGTATGTTAGAAATAGGAACGACAAGGAGCACAATAAATGCCTTCATATGATATGCTACAAAATGTGGCCATTAATCAGACATCCACTGTACACCAAAAAGCACTCATGGGATTACTGATATAAAATCCCCATGAAACAACACACAATGGAGTGCACTCTCTTGAGACAATTGCTCTTGTTAGATCACCCCAGGGGAGACAGGTAGTGCTTCCTTTTTGGAAAGCACTGATTCGACTGCACAAGGTACGTGTCACTAACACAACATAATCCTTCTTACGGTGTGAAGTGGATCTTTCTAGAAACTAGTTCATGGTTGTATAGCCAGGCACAGTACCCTAAGGATGGCACTGGGACAAATTTTTAGTTCTCTGTGCTAGAATATGGGTGAAATGCAGGTAACCAGATACCAGTTATTTTGGTCTGAGTACATGTGGTTGATGTCAACCGGCAGGGACAATTTTCACTGGTCAAAGATGCCCTGGAAATACCCACTCTCCACTCACCAGACTGAGGCCAGGAAATACGTACGAGCTGTGCTATGCAAGAGCAGCCCCATGAATTTCTAGCTTGTTGTCTGATTTGGGAGTTTTCCCGTCACTCTTGAGGTGTACCACAGTGGCCAAGGGCGATCACTCCAGCTGGTTTTCTCCTCACCCAGGCAGCTGGGTACCACTGATTTAAAGCCCACTCCATACATATTGGTGGGATAGACTTTCTTTTGGCCAAGTATTGGCTGACAGTGTAGCTATTAATCTCAGCCCTGGGGTTGACATGGCTTCAAGCAATTTTTCTTCTTAGAGCATGTTTAGAAAATGAGAGTCTTAAGAAAGTGAGAGAAGTCAGAAGAGTGCCTCATGCAGTGAGTCTACTACAGAACCGACAGGGGAGACCCAGTCCTTACAGCTCATTGGTGCAGTTGGCTGGCTTATCCATCCTGTGCCCTTCCTTTAGCAGCTTAAAAAGTTCCTCCACAGGAATCCCTGGGTAAGGTGAGCCCCCTAAAGTGAAGATCTCCCACATTAACACCCCAAAGGACCAGCTGCAAAAAAGAGAAAATACAGCATTACTATCACATCTGAATCACGGAAACCTAAACATGCACCAGTAAAAAAATAAAATAAAATAAACACATACTTAGTTCCTACACTCACAGATAAATGAACCCTCCAGCAATTCATCCTGCAGGCCTTGGCCTGACCCCAAACCCTAAATGATGACATGGGGATGCTCTGATGGAGTTTTCCATCAGCAGACAAAAAGCAAACCTTAGGAATTCTTCACCTTATACTGGGTGCTAATGAAATGAGGATCTCAACTTCTGGACTTCAAAGCCTTCTGTGCTCCTGTGTAACTCTTCCATCACCCATGCCAGGGTACGAGGGCCCTCATCTACCTATACTATCAGTTGACACAGTAAGGCCAGCAAACTGACTCTGCAGGAAAATGGCTATCTGAGGTGGCTGGCAGAGCACTCACAGCGCCAAGGTTCTGTGACTTACTAGGATGGCAAAGGAACTCAGTAAAGGGCTGGGATTATGATGGAGGAACCAGGTGCCCCAGACAAGATCACAAACAGAAACTGAAGAGACCTCAGACAGTACCATTTACTTGAACTTTCAGAGAGCCACAGTTGGACCTTCTCAGCCTACTTCAGGGGACTCAGTCCCTGTGATAATGAAGCAGAGGATCCCTGTTTGTCTACTTCGCTGCATCCCTCTTGCTACTGCGGTGCTCAATTTCTGGAATGAAACTGCCTGCCTCCAGTTTTATGCAGCGCACAAGCAGGACTAAGAAGAGAGGCAGAAACAGCTTTGGGCCTCAGTTTCCTTAGGGCACAAATAATCATGATAATCATGACTCTCTCCTTCCAGGACAGCTGAGGACTGACCGCACTGGGGCACAATCTGCCCCTGAAGTCCTCTTGCTCATGTGAATGAAAAACAGTTCATTGATTTTTAAAAACTGTTTCCTTTGGCATAATTGTAGACTCACTGGACCTTACAAAAATAGTAACTTTCACCCAGTTTCTCCTAATAATAACATCATTCGACTGAATTTACAAATCTGACACATCAACTGGAGCCTGACCCTAACAGTATTTTTATGTGTCATGATAGAAATATGATGACATTTCTCCTACAGTTCTAGGATATTATCAAGGAGTCTAAGACAAGACCAGATTTTCTTGTATTTTTGAAGAATAATCACTATAAGAAGATGCAGCAGAAATCATCTGGGCTGAGCAAGTCTCACTTAGCATCACCCTTTGGGGAAACATTTAGGCAGGAGAGCATGACACACCAGCTACATAGGAAGGATTTCGAGAATACTTTTTAAGCACACAAAGGATGTGTCAACAGCTTGGCTAATCAGTTAGCAGTTTTGCATGTGCACCCACACCGAGCTGTCGGAGGGACCCTTCCATTCTGGCAAGAGAGGTCAGCAGTTCTGCCTCCTGTGCTCTTTGAAGCCAGGCAGATTAGTAACAGATTAGTAGGCTACCAGCCTACTGTAAAATCGTGCTTTCTGAGGTTGCCCTCTGCAAATGTGTGCAGTGCAGTGGCTACCAAAGAATGAAGAAAGGCAAAGAACATGCACATGGGCAACTCAAGCCCAGAAGAAGCCAGGGAAAAAGGCCAGCACTTACACATCACTCTGATGGGTGTACACTCTATCGAAAAGGGCTTCAGGAGCCATCCACTTGACTGGAAGTCGCCCCTGCAAATATGTAAAAAAATTTAAAAATTCCTGGGTTAAATTAAGGTTATGACAGCAGAATCAACTGGCTGCGCCCTGCTTAAAAGGTGACATTCTGTTTTCATTAGCCTGTATGAGAACAGAAATAAGCTCCAACTAGAGCTATATAAAGTGTGAGAGACACAGATTAGAGCTCATTATAAAAGTGTCATCTCCCTGGATGCTCATTATCACTTATCTCCCTAATATTCAGGCACATCCTGACCAACTTCTGGGCAAAAATTAATCCAGTGACTTTCAGGCTGTATTCTCTGCTATGAAAGTTCTCAACAAGAGCTGTATTTTTCAAACCAAACCCCTGAAGGCTACTGATTATTCTGCATAAAAGATTGTTTCACATTTACTAAAATTATCTTAAATAGATCTTAAATTTGCTGATTGAAAATTGATGAAGCTACAATGGACCCTCGAATTACGACCAGCCTGACATATGAATGCCTTGGGTTATAACTGAAATTTTAGCTTTGACTTAAAAATTCTTGAGTTACAACCCAAATGTGGCAGCCGCCGTTTGTGCTTCAAGATGGTCTCAGGAACAGATCTGACCCTTAAAAGAGTTCTAGAAGGAGCATTACAACATCCTTTCCTGTGTGGGCTCAGTTGAGAAATCCTGGGCCAACGTCTCTCTAAAGACACTGAGCTCTGCCTATCCGCAGGAGAGAGACTTTAAAGGCTGTGTATGGGAGCCTGAGCCTTAAACTGACCAACATGACTTACAACCAGCCCTCACACAAAGTGAGTTCATATATCAAGGGTCCACTTACTTGCAAAAGAATAGGAATAGAAGCAGAAGACATGCCTTCGCAGCTCCTTCTACCTTTAAACCTATGAATTTGCATTTTGGAAATTCTGTACCTTGCCAACACTTTATAGAACTATAGTACTTCTACTGTAACACCCCCATTTCATCACCACAGACTTACGTTTGTTGTCTTTTTGTAGTAATCTATATTATTGATATCTCTGGCCAGTCCAAAGTCTGCTATTTTCATCACATTGTTTTCTGTTACCAAAACGTTTCTGGCTGCTAAATCTCGATGAATACACTGAAATCAAGAAAGAACTAATTTCAGAATGCTTCGAGAAGGAAGATATATTTATTTCTCAAAATGCACACAGAACGTATCTCTCCAGTAAAAAGCTAACCATATTGGGGCTGTTAAGCTAAAGCTGTTCAACCATGAGCCGTTGAGACCCTCTAACATGACACTGGTATTTATTTTCTTAAATCGTTTCAGAGAGCAGAGGTAGACTAAATAACCACATTCTCTTTCGTCTGCAGTTGTCTTATACCACCAATAGTCTCCCATTAGCTGCATGCAAGATCAGTGTTAGGTCATCCTAGAAACCTTTTATTTCAGCTCTTGTTCCCTTCAGAAGAGCATTTTTCAGATGAGCCAGTTAAACCTCAATGTCATATCTTCTTCACCTCCTGGTCATTTCTCCAACATTCTGACCTGATAGAAAACTAAGTCTTTGCTCTCAGAAAAGTCTAGCGATTACGAACTCTGTATTTCCTTCCTATAAATGATGTTTTCCACCCCCACTGCTTCCAAAGTTTACAAAGAGCCTTTTCACTATTAGACCTACATGACCTCTTCCAGTCCCTCAATTTTTCCCTCTCTGCTGCTTCAGACGCTGTTGATTTCCTGCTTGTTTTTGAAAACGCTCCCTCCACTGGGTCCTCCCCCATCTGCTTTGTCTAGGATCGCTGTCTCTCCTCCTCACCACCCCAGACTCTTTGGTTGGCTCCTTCCTTCCTCTGTTCCTCTGTTCCTCAAAAGCAAGGGCCTTCCCATTGGGCTTGTGTGTTTCTATCTTCCTGGCAGCGGTTCTTAGACACATACAAAAGAGCTGCAAATTCCATCACCCCCCCAGCCTCTCTCCTGAGTTCCACATTCTCATTTTCACCTCACTCTGGGAGAATTCCACATGGACTCCCCCTGACATCTCAAGTTCAAGATTCCTACCCCCACTAAAGTCTCACCCCTTTTGTCCCTCTTAATCAACGTTCTTTACACTCACTTCCTGTTGACCGCTACCTGAAACGCCTCTGCAGTTTTCACTCCACTGCTGATCCCTTCTCTCAGGCTGTGGCAACTGTCTGCTCCACGCATGGACTGCCACACAGCCCGCCCAAAGGTCTCCATGCTCCCAAACTCAGCCATCCCCCTTCTACACTTCCCTTCCCTTATGTGTAAAACCCTTTTCTCTCCCTCCCTTCCTTTTCCTTCCTCCCCCTCCCTCTCTCTCCCCCTCTCCCCCACCCTTTCTTTCTTTCCTCAGTACCGGAGATCGAACTCAGGACCTTGAACTTGCAATGCAGGAGCGGTCACTGATCTAAATCCCTGGCCCTCCTCCACTTGTGTTTAGACACAGCCAACTCTACCCTTTCCTGGCTTCTCACACAGCCAATGGCCACCCCGCCATATTCTCAGTCCAGGCTATCACAACACATAACCCACACGGGTGGCACAAGCTGTGTCTGCCACGTATCTTGAGACTAAATCCTGTGCTGCTTGCTATGGGGTAGCTGAAGGTCTGGGCTGATCGCCACTCTGGGCTCTGACAGGTTTAGTTGTTATAATGTCTATATTCCCTTTCTATAAATGATATGCTTTTGTAAGCTGCTCTGTTTCTGTTGCACTTTAATATACCACGACTGCGAGGTGACGCAGGGTAATTAGGATCTAAGCATCAGCCTCTATTTTTAGAAGAGGTAAGGTATAAAGAAGCAAGTAACTACCACCACCAAATGCTTTGACACAAGAAACCAGCAAAGGTTAACTACGATAGGAAGCAGAGAACCTTATCAATCCACTCAACAAATTTGTGACAGAACTAACCTTAGATACTCCATGAAATGACCAATTAAAAAGGAGCAAACCAAGGGCTGGGGATATAGCTCAGCAGTTCGGTGGCCTGCCTTTCAAGCGGAGTTCAATCCCCAGTACCAAAAAAAAAAAAAGAGGAGCAAACCAAACTACCTCTGAAATGTAAATAAGGAATTATTTTACCCTGCCCCACCCCAACTCTTGGTGGTGTTCATTCACTTGGGTAAGAGGATCTAAACTCAGAAAGGAGGGAGTAAGAAAGCCACCCAAGGCAGTTTCCCTGGGCCAGATGAGGAGCAGGAAATGTGAGAGTTCCCAGAGCTGCCTGCAGACCTGTCAGGGCTGGAGCACTGTCCTGGTTTGGAGGCCTCTTCAAACTGAACTTCCAAGCCCTGGGCCAAACTCTCCCGGCGGTGTACTCCTGCTGACTGTGCTCCCAGTGTCTGACAAGCTGAGTGGTCAGAAGAGTCTGGCTTCCACCACACATCAGACCTCAGCTGGGAAAGAGACACTGCTGAGGGGCATTACCTCCACTTTGTTCGGCATGGGCAGCCCCCCCCCCCGCAGGGTGCGAGGAAACACCAAATTCCCCTCTGGGTTGAACAGAGGCCTTGGAACAAGGGCCTGAGAAAAAGAAAATAATTAAAGGCAAGTCAAATCCTCAGCAACCACAGAAAGTTCAGTTGTTCTCCGGCCCAGAGAGCTGAATTTAATAATCAGGGTGCTGGAACATTCTGGTGTTCCCTTTTTCTATATGCTAAGGAAAAGAAGGTTAATACCTCATGGTGCAGACACTGTACCGGGTGATGCTGATCATTTAACTCTCAGGGCCCCCTATGAGATGGGTATGATAATGCTCACTTTATGGATAGGGATGACAAGACCTGCTTCAAAGCCAAACCCACTCGGGTTTAACACTTTGAACTAAAACTAGCAAGGATTTCACAAATTTCCTAAGGCCCAAGGAGCCTAGCACTATCTGAATTAATTACTCTAGGCCCATGGTATTTCTTGCCTGACTCCACCCTCCTCTGACCATGCACACAATGGACAGCTGCCTGAGATCGGGCACTGTGTCACCTCAGTATTCCCAGCTCTGAGCCCAGCCTGGCCTGGAAACTGCCTACTGGGCCACCTTCACAAGCACAGACACCAGCCCCAGCTCTCCTTCTCCCCCTCCTTCCAGGGCGTGGGTCTCAGACAAGCCCCTCCCTCTGTGGGGCTGCTTCCATCATCCCATTCTGTCAGCCTAAAATAGGCTGCCAATCGTAAAGTCCATCCAGTTCTTACATGTCCTTCCCACCGTGCTGAGCAGCTCCCAACAGAGAAGTGTCTCAAAGTGTGCAGGAAGGGGCGGGACAGGGCTCCGTTTCCTCTAGGACCATACCCCATATACACATCTCTGTCCTCGCTCTGAGCAGGGGCACACAGCTGGTTTCTACCTCTCCTTCCTGAAACTCTCCTTTGCAGCTTCTCCAAACTGCACCCAGCCTTCCTCTTCAGTTTCAGCTGGGTCCTGCTCCGCCTCCTCTCCATTTCCTGTACTTTTTGCCAATCTTGAGACCTGAGAGTTTTCCTAGGATTCAATACAACTCCAGGATTTTCAAGGCTTCTCTCCAGGTGACTTTGTTCCCTGCCGTCTCTTGAATGACACCTTTTCCTTGTTCTTCTGGCCTCTCCACTTGGCTCTTGGAGCTGAGCTTCAAGGCCTCTCCCCTTGAATGGCTCTCAGTACTCCTCCATGAGCTCTGGAGTTGTCATTGAAAATTTCTCCCACTCACCTGCTGCTCTGCCTCCTGATTCCCAAGTCTTCTCCTCTTGGGAACTGAAGCAACATCCAATGTCTCAGCCTGGAAATCAGGAGTCCTCGTTGATGGTTCTTTCTCTCCTAACTGACCCACTAATTTTCCTGATCGCAAAAGATGCCCCAAAGCAAACTACCAACTTCTTTCAGTGTTGTGGTGCAAAGCACTGTCACCTTTCACAGGGACCAGGCACTTCCAATCTCCTCTGCAAGCAGGAGCAAGGCCAACTTGAAAACATACACCTACCCTCCCACTGCCCCTCCAGGACTCCCCATAGCTCCCAGGCCCGTGTCTCTGCCTGGAGATTTAAATCCCTGAACAAACAGGACCTTATCAAACTGTTTGTTTCTCAATTTGTCTACATGCACAAGGGTTTTTACATTTTATTGGAATACATATGAGCAATCTCTTGCACTATTACTCTTGGTTCCTGCTCTAACAGCTCAAGGGCTGCACCTGTTCTGGCCAGCCTAGGACATGAGGCACCTAGGGAGCCCTGTAGAATATTTGTGGAAGGACTGAATAAAATGGTGAGCCCAGCCCTCCTACCACTTCTGTAGGAGCAGCAGCACCCTGCAAAAGTGCAGCCCCCACCTTCCATCCAGCTAGGGTTCAGAGTGACCAAGCACAGAGGAATCAAACAGGCCACCTATTATGAGACAAACTACCCTCTCCTGTGTGCTATTAGAAATCATTTCAAATACAAAACGTAAAAATAAAAAGGTCAATTCCACTCACAATAGCTTTCAAAACAAAAATAAAAACAAAGAAAACAAAAAGATGGGATCAGTCTAACCAAGGAGATGAAAGAATTCTACAATGAGAATCACAGAAGACTGAAGAAAGAAATTGAAGAAGATAGCAGAAAGTGGGAAGACCTCTCACATTCATGGATTGTTAAATGGTCATCCTACCAAAAGTGATCTACAGGTGCAATCCAGTTCCCATCGAAGTACCAGTGACATTCGTCATAGAACACAAAAAATCCTAAAATTAGTATGGAAGCACAAAGATCCACAATAGCCAGAATAATCCCAAGCAAAAAGAACAAGTCTGGAGATATCACAATACCTAATTTAAAATTGTACCGCATGACTGCAGTAACAAAACAGCATGGACTGGCACGAAAACATACACATAGACCAATGAAACAAAAATAGAGAACCCAAACAAATCCAGACATCTATAGACACCTCATTTTGGACAAAGGAGCCAAATATAGCATACTGGAGAACAGCCTCTTTTCTTTAACGATGGTGGCGGAAAAACTGGACAGCTGCTTGTAGAAGATCGAAACTAGATCCCTATCTTTCACCCTGTACAAAAATCAATCCAAAAGGATCAAAGACCTAGGTTAAGGCCTGAATCTTTCAAACTGCTGGAAGAAAACAGCGGATACACACTTGAAGCCAAAAGCACAGACAAACTTCCTAAACAGGATTCGAGTAGCACAGGAAATAACAGCAGGAATCAACAAATTAGATTACATTAATTGAAAGGTTTCTGCACAACAAGGGAAACAGCTAATAGAGTGGAGCCTACAGAATGGACGAAAGTCTGTGCCATCTATTCTTCCGATGGAGGATTCATATCTAGAATATATAAAGAGCTCAAAAAACTCAACACCAAAAAACCCAAGCACCCATTCAGTAAATTGGTAAATGAATTGAGCAGACGCTCCTCAAAATAATACAAATGGCCAGTAAGCACAGGAAAAAATATTTAACATCTCTAGCCCCTGGAGAAATGCAAATCAAAACAATGCTGAGATTCCATCTTACCCAAGACAGAATAGCTATCATCAAGAATACAAGGAACAGCGGATATTGGCAAGGAGGCAGGAAAAAGAAACCCATCTACACTGCTGGTGGGAATGCAGATCAGCACAGTCCAGTCACTAAGGAAATTAGTGTAGAGGTTCCTCAGAAAACTAAAAAGATCCGGTGTGGTGGTACACACCTCCCAGCACTCTGGGAGACCAAAACAGAAGGAATTTAAGTTCAAGTTCCACCTGGGCAATTTGGTGAGACCCCCATCTCAAAATAAAAAGGGCTGGGATGCGACTCAGTGTGAAGGCCCTGGGTTCCATCCCCAGTACCTCAAAAACTGAACAAACAAAAACTCGGAAAGACAAATATCACACATTCTCCCTAATATGTGAAATCTAAGAAAGATGACAAGAAAGCAGATGGGAGACTCTTAGACAAGAGAAAGGGAATGAGGGGTAGAAGATGGCATAAAGGAAGTTATGGGGATAACTGAAATATGTGGTACACATTAAACCCAGTATTTTTGTAAAATTAATAGGCATTGATAATAAAAGAAAAGCAAGAATAAGAAAAACTTCTAGATATTTCAGAAAAGGTGAAATAGTACAACAGCTATCCATGTTTATTAAATTTACTTGCTCTCAATTTCTCTGCATATTGAGCTTTTACACACGCACACACACACACACACACACCCACCTCACACCCTTTTCTACAGCTGAAGTCTTTCAAAATTAGTTACAGATATCACTGGTATTTCATGTCTAAATTCACATTTAGATGGTTGAGCAATTCTGGTTTGAAAATCCATAATCCAAAATATTTTATGCACTGACCTTAGGGCACAAGTAGAAAAATTTACCCATACCGTATTTTTAAAAATTTTACAAAGGTATCTTCAGGCAATGTGTATATACAACATGGATGAATTCTCTGCTTCAATTTGGGTCCTATCCTCAACATGCCCCATTATGTATATGCAAACATTCCAAGTTCCAAAAAATCTGAAAGGCTGCAGGCCTCAAGAATTTTGGATAAGGGATACTCTACCTGTATCTCCTACCTTAACACACACCACCGACACCCTCCTCTGAATCTAACTTTGACACAGTTATATCATCCAGAATGGAGCCCATTGTCACCTTCCGTTTGTGCACAGTGTCCTTTGTAAAAGCTGGACCCCATGGCCCAACCCAGGACCACACCTCCACAGCTGGCTACTGTCTCCTCAGCCTCCTTTAATCTGAAAGGATCTCCCTAACATTTCTTATCTTTCATGACATTGACATCTTGAAGTGCTGCCTTGTCAAATGTCTCACATACTGGATCTGGCTGTTCCCTGATGCCAAAAACTTTTGGACTGGCAAACACACCTGTAACCCATGTCCGTGCCAGTGCACACCTACACGCACATAATCATAGAACCCAAAACTATTAAAGTGTTTTTATTACTTTCTTAAAACCTACAATATGCTAGGAGATTTTATGTGGTGGTGGTGTGGGGGGCCCCAGCTAGTAAAGTCCTAAGCTCTGGTCTTTGTAGAAGTGTTTTAAAAAAAAAGCCAGACCACATGATAGCCATGGGCCGTGTTCCTCCATGACAGAGACAGCGGGACTGGGGTGCGGCTAGGCCCAGTCCCCTCTACCCTGCATGGTCTGACAAGGGCTACCTTGTGACTAGAAAGACCCGTGAGGAGATCTAGGTTTATGACTTTTCAGGCAGCCCAGGCCCACGGGTGACACAGTCTACCCCACTAGGGGATATCACCTTTTGGGGAACCTGGAGAATTACCCATGCTGCATCAAGCTCCACTCAGGCAGGTGCTGAGCCCCTTCTACCCATAAAGGCTGTTCTGCACCCCACACAGAGTGTGAGGCCCAAAGGCGCTGGGGTTCTCCAAATTGTCCCAAGGACTTTGGGCACCTGCTGAAATGCTTCCAGCATAACTTGAATATTTTAAGTTCCAATGTAAGTTGCATGCTCAGAATGCTGGTGATTCACCTCAGGGGACCTGGCCAATTCTAACTACAGGGCTCTCAGCAAGAGACAAAATATACTCAAATACTCAGGACTCGATGTTGCTGAAACTCACCACCCCACTTGATCTTTATTAATGCCTTATCAAACTCAAAACCCTAAACACAATGCCCAAATTCCATGTCGCCAACCTCAATAACCACAAAAGAAACGAAGCCAAAGCAAACGAGAATTAAACACCCAACCCAATCAAATTCCCAGGAGCATCAAACCAGCCCTGTCTCAAGCGAGGAGACATCTTTCTTGCTCATCTCTGTAATCGTGTTATGAGTTTATGAGGCTGCTTTGGCCTCTAAAGAGTTCATTAAACTCAAACGTAAATAACACCATAAATATTTTCCAGGTTGTACAAGACATGCGAGAGCTTGATCTAGCAAATGAGCACGTCCAAACCGCCTGATTTCTTTAAAGACACTTTTAATTGGCTTCCACCCAACCAAGTAGAATGCGAAGGACTCACTTTTTGCGAGGCCAAGTACTCCATGCCTCTGGCCAGCTGGTAGGTGCATGACACCAAGTCCTTGAAGGTCATTTGCTCCTCAGGAACACGGTTAATGTCATAGGAGTATTCCATGCCTGGAGGCCTCCGGGCTCGGAGGTATTCCCGCAGGTTGCCTTTGGAGGCGTACTCAACAATGACATAGAGGGGCCCTGTTGACAGACAGGAGAAAGAAGCTCCCTGAGGCAGCAGACCAAGACTGCCCCTGGGCAACCCAGCAAAGAAGGGTTATTAATTTCTACAATCCACCGTGGGAGTTTTGTTGTTTTTGCTGTGAAGATCAAAGCCAGTGTCTCAAGTACACTAGGCAAAGGCTCGCCCTCTGAGCTACAGTGATACCCTTATTATTTTCTTCTTGGTTTTTATCATTCAGAAAAGGACACATAAAAATTGAACACCTGCATTCTAATCTCTCCAAAATGATAATCTACATTTGGTCACGACGGCCTCAAAAGGCTTTAAGAAGCAAAGATACAGAGGTAGTACCTTCCACTATCACTCCAACCCTCTCTCCCCAGTGGCCCCCTGGGGAGAAATTTGTTCCCTCCGATTCATTTTAATTAGAGTGTGTGTATTATTTTTAATCAGATAAATAATGACTGAGCTCTGCAATATTTCCCTTACACAATACCCCTGTGGATTTCAGGTGAGCTGATAAAAATTAATTTACCACACTATTTATCCTTTTCCCCTGTACCTATGGGCAATTAGGTTGCTTCCAGGTTTCTGCTATAACAGTTAGGGCAAAGAACACTGCTGTACATGTTTCCTTGTTCATATGTGCGGCATAATCTCCTCAAGGTATAGCCTGGGTCAACAAACTACAGCCCGGGTCGACAAACTACAGCCCACAGGCCAAATCCTGCCTACTACCTGTTGGAGTCCTTAAATGTGACGGGCACACAGCCAGTTCCATTCTTGTCCAAAAGCTGCTACTTCAGTACAAAGGCAGTAACCGAAAGTTGCAACAAAAGCCTAAAATATCCACAAATGCCCTTTACAGAAAAGTGTTGTCGATTCCCACACAGACCTAAAGAAGAAACTGCTAAGTCAGACTTTGGCATTTTCAAGTTTATTAACTTCCAAACTGGCCTCAAAGTGCCAGTAAGTGTTCAATGAAAGCAGCCAGGCTGCATCCCTCGTCCCTCTACCACCTCGAAGGAATTGAGCTCCTGCGCACCACTTTCTTTGAAGCTAGTCTTGAGAGCTCAGCCACCTGCTGCCTGCCTCAAGAGAGGGCTTCCCCCAATTCCTATGTTAAGGGAAGAACTTTTCAAACACAGCCTTATTTTTGGAGAAATCTTACTTAGCACTTACAAAACAAAAACAAAGAAATTGTCCTTTCCAAATAGCCTCTTGACCTAAAAATACTAGGACCCTCCTCTCCCTTGTCCCCCAGGGACAAACACAAGAGTTCTGTTCACAACTGGCAACATCTCCCTGAGTTTATTTTATTTTAGTTAATTCAATTTTTTGCAGAACTAGGAATTTAATTCAGAGTCTTGTACATGTTAGGCCAGCACACTACCACTGAGCTACATCCCCAGGCCCCTAAAGATATTTTAAAGAGAACTATAAGTATGCACTCAAGGCACCCTAGATACAGGACCCAGAAATGCAACGGCTTCCAAAATGATGCTAACGCTCACCCCCGTAGTGGGTGCCTGGGAAGCTTTTTCCTCCTACTCACCATCCTGCGTGCAGGCTCCAAGCAGATTAATGATATTTTTGTGTTTTCCAATCATCTTCATCATCTCCATCTCTGACACCAAATCAGAAAGATCTTTCTCCGTAGCATCATCTGTGAACATTAGGTGAATCATGAATTAGTTAGTTTCCTCTAACTCATGGGCTATCATTATTAGTGGCCAAACAGGTTTAAAATGTGACACTGAATTTTAGAACAAGGAATGACTTTCCCAATCACTTCCCTCGTAATATCTGTGAAGGGTCACACGCCCAGGAATGTCCTGCTCTGTGTTAAATAGCTCACTGAAGTTCAGTGGGGTCAACATTCAGGACCAGAGCACAGCCTCTAATGTGTAAGCCAAGACTTTTGTAATAACCCTTACAAACCTAAATGTTCTTCCTCTATTGTGTAATTCCCATCATCTGCCATATCCAAGGTACCCTACACAAAGCACTCCGATTTTCATGGTGCCCAAAAGCAACTCTGATATGACAGGCAGGAAAACACAAAAGGGACATTTTCAATCTCTACAGACTTCATCCAGTGCAAGATTCCTAACTCAACCCAAGTAACCATTAGCACATTCAATCTCTACAGACTTTCTCCAGTGCAAGATTCCTAACTCAACCTGAGTTCACAGATAGGTCCAGGAGGTGTCCTGCAACTGAGTACTAAGTGCACGCAGGTGTTTTGTGCAGGTGAAGGGCAATGCCTCCTACTGACTTCTCAAAGGGGTATAAGCCTGTGCTCTGTAATTTCAAAGAAAAATAGCTCAGGCTATACATACACAGGCTTATGGTGAGCTAAGAGGAAGTGGCATGACTGTTCCCATGCACCCTCTTCAAACTAATTTAGTATGGAAAAACACAGCTGACTGAAAAGAAAATGAAATCGAGGCACAGATAGGAACCATGTTGCCAAAAGCATTTCAGCCTCACAAAAAGCAAAGCATTACAATTGTCTGTGCGCAAAATCTACTCTGACATATAGGGAGGGAAGGAGGAAATAGGTCTTTCAGGCTCTGGGCCATCCATCTATTGGCTGTAATCAAGGACACGGCACAAAGGTTCTGGGGCATGAGTCCATGTACATCCTGAAAGGGAAGATGGCCAACCCCACCTTACAAGAGAAACAAGCTTTCTTCTGGAATATCCCCACCTCATTCCGTGCCCCATAACAAAATCAGAAGACCTGCTGAAAAACATGGGGAGCCATGACTGCCCCTGGAAGGTAGCCAGGGCTGCCTCCATGCTGGTACCCAGACACACCCAGCATCAAACCACCCCACAAAGTGATCTCAAAACACCAGATTTCCCTGGAAGCCTCAGATCAACAGCTGAGACACAACGAGCAACTTTTCACTTTCTAGCCTGCTCCTCTTTCTTAGGGACAGATGTGGGGAGTACCCCAAGAGAAGCCAAGAAAGAAAGTAACACATCCCACATCCCAAGGAGAGGCTTTGTGACCTTGAAACTATGGAACACTGGGCTTGGGACCTCCTTTCTGAGATCCCTACAAGATTTATAACGTGCCCGTTCCCTGTCACCCTTCCTGTAAAAGAATACTACGGGAGAGTAAGTTAATGGTCAAGAGTTCTTTAAGCTCCGAGACACAGGCATGAAGCAGGATTGGAAGATTTGTGTAGAAATGTTCAGATTCCCATGAGCACATCGTTTGCATCTTGGGGTCACTGAGGCTCTGCCCCAGCCCTCACAATGTTAGTTCCTTTTCAGCTTCTAAGTGACTCCCCCAGACTGACTGGTATCATTTGTGCTCTGCTCCTTGTAAAAAAAAAGAAGCTGTTCTGCTCCCTGAGCCTCTTACTCCCACCCCAAATGCCAATTTCTCTTTATCCATAGGTTAGAGTCTCAGTCCTGAATCCAATCACCAACTCCATCTAAATCCATAGTTTGTAAGCAGATGATTACTTTCTAAGCCCACAGAAATAAGAAGCAAGTGAAGAATGGTGGTTCCCTAGAAGGACTCAAAATAATAACTCAATCTTGGAGGCTTCCACTTGCTAACAAAACGGTCTTCTCTTTTTTATAAGTACACACCGCTCAAGATAAATAGCCTGTCTGAGGCGCTGATCTATCCTGAGAACTCCTCAGCCTCTAGGTCAACTTTTTGCCCTCCAACCCCCTGCCACAACAGAGTTCCCCTGCCATAAACGAACAATCTTGAAAAGCTTTCCCACCCTCCCCACCCCTTCCCCACTTACCTTTCAACATCTTCACTGCCACGGTGACCGCCTCCTTGGGTTTGTCTTTATCGATCCCCACTGCCTCAGCCATGACCACTTGCCCAAAGCAACCTTCCCCGAGGGGTTTGCCCAGCGTCAGCCTAAATGTGTAAAACAGGGGATAAGCACATGGCATCTGGTGCAAGGGTGCAGCAAGGGAAATTCCAGAACCAAATATAAAAATCTTTCAGCGGCTTGCGAAAGCATGGCGTATTTATCATATGGAACTAATGAGACTTAGGGTACACACATGCTGGAGTGTTTTCTTAGTGACGTTTTAGAGAATGTCAATTACTGGGGGAACAGCTATTAAATTTCACATTTGTAGTCTCAATTTATTTTCTTTATGGAAGGCATCCTTGCGAGCAAGGTGGGCAGCCTCCCTGAGTGCCAACAATGAGGAGCTTTTGATGTTGAGCCAATTAAATATTTGTAATTTAGAATGTCTCAGAGAAAAACATTAAGCCTTTTCTTTCTTTCTTTTTTTTTTTGGTCCCTGTAAAGTGACAGCTTTAAAATCACTACTATTCAAATACCAGTGGGTTTTACAGTTACATTCCTTGCCAAGTGACTGGATATGAATCTTAAAGGCATTTCAAAGACTCTCTAATTTTTTGCTATAGAAAATGGGGAGAATGTTTTTTACATAAACTTAGAAATCCTTACGACTACCTAAAATTAACAAAGTAAAATCGGAAGTGAACACCACAAATTCTATGTCTAAGCTTAGAAGCTCTATGCAGTCACATGAGTGGCCATATATTGTCTTTGGGCATTCCAGAAACCACAGAATGGAGAAGTCTGGAGTACTTACTCATGTGGTTTTTTTGAACTTAAGCATAACACAGCAAAGTACTGAGCTGCCATTAGTAAACAGTATTTACGGTAAGTACACAATGGTGTGCAAAAGGTCAGCAAAAACAGTGAGGTCAGATTATGCTATGCTGAGGTCATCCCATTTCTATCCAGAACTAAAATTAAATTTAACATCTTGGCAGAAAATAAACATTTGCATTGGAAAAATGACTAATTTATGTCCCACTGCCCTGCTACTACAAGCACAACAATCCTCTCTTTGTATAACTTCTGCCTCCGATCTAATAAAGTGCTTCTAAATAGCCTTCATTCATTGAAAATCTGCTCCACCTACATTTGTGCTAAACACTGTTTGGAAATGCATAGCACTTAGATTTTCCACACTCGGGGTACCCCCAGGTGGGAGCTAACAGCTCAACACATACAGACTCCCACTGTTGACTGCAGTGTCACAGGTGGCAAAAACGACAGGCTGAACCTGAAAGCTGCAAGCTCTTAACGAAGGATCACAACTGCCCGATTCAGTCCCGTATACACAGGAATGTGCACATGAACCCAACCACTTATACAATCACACACAGCTAGGGGCTGGCAGTGTTCATGAGGAACGCCCCTCCTCTGCACATCCTGCTGCAGGTAAAGAAACTGGCCTTTGTATTTTCCATGGTGCCTCATAAGTAAATGTCGCATAAACGTTCCTTAAATGAAGAAACCGTTTTTTTTTTTTTTTTTTACTATAGCACACAAATAACTGAACGATGCCTAGAAAATTAATTCAGTTCTAGCTTAGGATACACATTAGTATCTCTACAATGGTCGCTGGGAAACAAAAGCAATATGAAGTTGTGTGAATCAAAATCCCAAGTGCTGTGTAAGCCCTTTCTCCCTTCCAAACAGAGCCTGGCATAAGCAGTCTCTGGAAGAGCTTCCTTTGTGTTTCCAAATCTGTGTACGTATATACAAGAAGTGTATCTTAAACATGTTATATAATCTCAGGGAGATCCCGCAAATGTCAAGTCAAACAGGATATTTATTAGCAAGGCAAGAACGATTCTAATTTATTTGATGAAGAAAGAATCAGCATTTCTACCCTACATGACTCTCAAGCTGTTCAAACTCTAATTAGTACTCAAAGGATGCCAGAGTAAGCTGCCATCTTCTCCAGTGAAATTCATTTTGGAAGGCGGGGCTAGAGGCGGCCTAGAGGAGGGAGGGGCTGGCAGCCCATGGCCTGTACTTTTGGCTCTTGCCTAGGACATTTTCCTGAGGTCTGCAGCTCAGAGCTCCCAGATTACGAAGACATAAATGGAAATGAAAGAGAAACTCCCTTGGCCAAGAACTGTGCTGTCCTGGGAGGTAGAGTATATGCCATGTGTACTATTACCCTCATTTCACAGGAATGAAGTTGGGAGAGCTGAGTGACTCACCCAAAGGGATCCAGCCACTGGCTGGCACAGCCAGATTCAAATGCAGCCCAACAGAGCCAAAGTACATGGACTTGTGCAAATCAGACTGAGATATACCGCTCCTAACAATGCCTTCAATAAAGACCAAATGGCAGCCTTTGACTAAATATCTTATTGGAGAACCTCTGTGCCACCCAACAGGGAAATTATTATGGACCACAAAAATCAGATCCAAGTCCATACTCAAAGCTTTTCATCTCAGCCCTATATTAATAACCATTAAAAACAGCAGCATTTGGTGAAAGATTCTAAAGGCAGTTTATACTCTGCATCTAATTTCTCCAAAGAAATAAACTACAGAACAGTAATTTTTCTAGTAACCAGAAGTTGGAATGTCAGATCTATTTTATAGATTGGGTAATTCTACTTTTATTCCATTTGACGGGGTTTGAATTGGCTAGAAATTTAAAAAATGATAACCAGATGCCATCTTGTTTGGAGGCCAGCCAGGAGTCTGTAGTTCTGCTTTAAAGGTGCTATTTAAAAAAAAAAAAAAAAAAAAAACATTCTTTTCTTTTCCAGGAGTTATTTAGAAACAGTCTCACTCTTATTGACACCATCAGAGCAAGACCTTTGCAGTTAAAGGTCATAAAAAGAAAATGTCGATCTAATATTCCCATTTATATTGAAGTTTCTATTCGAGGATAATGCCCAGCAGCACTCACTTATCTCTGGGGAACTCCCACTTTGGATCCTCTGGCAGCTCGTATTCCGAGACCCCAGCCAGCATCGGGGTGTCTGCTGTTGAGGAGAGACGTGTTGTTATCCTCACCAGTGGGGTGTTGGAGTTCATGGAGGAGCTGGACTCAGCAGAAACCTGGGTACAAAATACAAAGCACAGATGTAATCCTGGCTCTCCCTGAGAAGGCTGGAAGTGAGCCAGAGCCCAGCCAGAGCTTCAGCTCTTAGAAAAGAAGAGGGTAGGGGCTGAACAAAGTCATAAACCGAAACAAAAAGCACCAGACTCTAAGCCCTCTGTTCTCCCATCTATGCAGTACCAGATTTGACCCGAAGTACACGTTCCTGAGATTTGTTCCTCAAACGAAAAATTTCATGGAAGTCTGATCAAATGGCAAGTCTGCTGTGTATCCAGATTCTTCTCGGCAGTCCCTTGAGGACAGGTACACAGACCTTGTTGGCTTCATTACAGCCTTTGCCTGTTTCAGGGCCCTGGACGATTAAGCTCCTCGCAGACGAGGATCAATGCTGTGCTCAGGAACTTCACAAGGATCTTTAGGAAATGAGCTCATCCCTATTTCCCCTGTTTTGGAAACAGAAGGCAGACTATCTCAAGGAAAGAGCTCTGGGCTTTGAGTGTGGATGCCAGTCTAGTAGCGCCACGCCTTTATTTGAGGTAACCCAAGACCTAGGTGATGGGGAGCACTCTGCTTCTCCCCAGATCTTCTGGACACCTGTCAGTGCCCAAGCCATTCAGCGAAACCAGGCTGCCTCTTCTTCACTTCAGCTTCAGACACCAATGCACTGAATGTGTGAGACAAAAAGTCATGGGGAAGAGAAACACACCTGTGTTCACAATAACATAGGAGAGCTTCTCTCCCATCTGACAGCGCACAAGACTCCCTCAAGTTATCTCTTCATTGACCCTGATCCATTTCAGTTTGTGTCCGACACAGTGATTATTTCTTTCTTTTTCTTTTTTTTTTTTTTCTTCCCCCAGTACCAGGGATCGAACTCAGCATCTTGAGCTTCCGAGGTAGACACAGCACCACTGAGCTCAAGCCCAGTCCTCAAAATGATTACTTCTTAAACACAGTCTCCCCTTGGCTGGTTTCTGTGAAAGGAAAACTTAGGCAGAGCTTACCTAAAGGCTACTTCTGAGTACATCTACACAGTCTTGGTGTGAGCACAGGATGCCTGATACTGGTTTCCTCTAAACAGGAACCAGATTTCAGTCTAACAACTTGGCAACTTAGTGAGACCCTGTTTCCTAATTTAAAAGTAGAAAACTGGCTGGGGATAAAGGTAAGCACCAAGGTCCTGGGTTCAATCCCCAGTACAAGGAAGGAAAGAGAGGAAGAGGAGGAAGGAGAAAAGGGGAAGAAGGAGAGGAAAGAAGGGAGGGAGGGAGGGAAAGGAAGAAGGAGAAAGAGAGGAGAGGAGGGGAGGGTAAAAAGAGAGGAAGGGGAGCAAGGGAGAGGAGGTGGGGGAAGAATGTGAGTTAACAAGAAGAATTCATTGGTGGCATCTCAAGTTTTGGCTCTGTCTCCTGTCAAGGATGAGGATTACAGTATTCCCAGCTATTCGTACAAATACCTCTTCCATCAACCTGGCACAGGCTGAGCTCAGACAAACTCAGGCAGCACTAACTTTCACAAAGTGGGTCCTAGACTCCTCTCACCTGGAACCAGAGGACCTGTACTCCCCCAGGATCATTCTATTCGCAGAGCACTGATTCGCGCCTTCGTGAACCCACACCACCCTGAATACAGGCTGGAAACTCAAGAAGATGCTCGAGGATAAGGTGAGAAGGAAATTAGATTACAAGTAGTAAGGTGTTTTCCAGATTGAAATCAAGAAACAGGCCACTTATAGAGCTTCCATTATCTCTTAAAAGTGTACGTGACTGCATTTCTGAGCAGTCTTTGGGCGGGGGGCAGGTGGGAGAGTTATTTCTAAATTTGGCTATGCAGATGTTGATTCACTGAGGCACAGAGAAATTTAAAAATTACGCGAAAAAAGAGGGAACCGAAGAGTTGATAATTTTGTAGCTCAGAGCCTCATTCCCCAGTATCCAGGTTGCAAAGGCAAATGGCAAAAGCAAGCAAAAAACAAAAAAAAGACCAGAAGGTAAATGTATGAGCTCCTGTAGAGTCCACTTCTGTTCCCACTAACGACCCAGTCTACAGATGAGGATGCTTTAGCCCACATGGTGTCCAACCCCATGATAGTGAGCCAACCTCAACTGCGGGATGCATAAGCAGGAACATTTCAAAAACATCAAAATTTCCAATTTCCATTAACCACATAAACATCTTCAGCTTCATCCACAGAAAAGGGAGCTCAGAAAGACTCAGAAACAGGTTTGGGCAATGAGGCTTCTCCAAGTCTTTCCACTCACCTAACTCATTCTGCATCAGTGCCATGTATTTGCAAAAGGTACCTGGTGTTTTCAAAAAATAAAAATAAAAAGCTATTCCAGGAAGTTCTTCTACATAAACAGGCAAAACATTGCCACTCGCTGCAGTGGAAACTTGTGCTTGAAGATCAGAGGCAAGAAGTTCCAGCCAAGCTAGTAAAAGTCAGCCTAGTGATGAGACAACACAGGCCTCGCATGGCCAAGGTCCAGCAGATTCTGCAACCAGCATATTCTGCAGGACCACCAGCATAGTCCCTCTGCACTGGACCCAGAGTTCCCAAAACTGCACCGCTGGGCGCATGGTGTGCTGCAATCAAGGGAGGCGGGAAACTGACTGGGCAATCGCTGGAGGTCACAGTGCTGGACAATGTTAAAGTCCACAGACCCTAGGAACATCCAGGCCTCCGTGCCTTGTCCCTGAAGATCACGGGATAGGACGTGGGACAGCAGCTTTCATGCAGTGAGTGTGAGAATAGACATTTAAAACATTTCTGGAAGGATATCTAAGAGACTTAGCAGTGGTCACCTTCAGGGAGAGAGATTAAAGGTTGGGGAGAAGGTAGAAAACTTTCTAGACTTTCTAGACCATTTGGATTTTATTACCACGTATGTGCTTTTCTTTTTATGTTTTAGGAGAAGCACTTTCTTCAACAAAAATATTTTTTTAAATAATAAGAATCTGAACTGAGGCATGAAGAAAGAGGAAAGAAAATGGAGGGCACATGCCTGGAATGTATCAACTTCTAAAGTAGGTTAGAAATGGCAAGACCATTGCTTTTATTCCCTTCTTCGGCTCCCAAGCTATGTTTTGTGGCGTCTCTGCATCCTTCGGATGTGGGTGCCCCAGGGCCTGTCCAAAGTCAAGCAACTGTAGTTGCTGCCCGGCCCCAGCATGCCTGAAGTCCTACACCTGAGCGGCTCTGTAACCCAACTGTCAGGGTCCACGTCCCAGTGCGAAAACTTTCTGTGTGAGCTTTGGGAAGTCACATAATCTTCCTAAGGCCAAGCTTCCTTTATCATGAGGATGGAACAAAGCAAAAAGCAGCAAAGTGGCCCTCATTAAGAGCTCAGTTACATTTGCTCCTGTATTTTTCCTTAGCATTTTTTGGAGGTCTACGTGCCCGGTCCCAGGAAACATACAATGGCACCTCTCTGGATAATTTAAAGTATTTGGAGCCTGGGGTGTTAGATCCTATCAAACCATGCACAAGAAGGGAGACAGCCTGGTGACAAGAGGGGCTCCTGCACACATTCCTTAACAGGCATATCTGATCGGGAAGGCAACGTCCTCCCTTCCTGGCCAGGATGAGCTGGTGCTCCAGCAAATGAGAGATAAAGAATCTAGGTCCCAAAATGGAAGGTAGGAAAGCCAGAGGGCAACAAGATGCTAGTGACAAGCATGGCTTAGGGGCTACTTCAAAACAGAGAAACATAATATTCAGCCAGAAGCTGACTGCTCTGTGATGAACCTCTGACCCAGAGGGAATCTGCATCCACAAGTTGACACATGTGTACCCCATCTCCCAAACAGAGCATGTCCATGCAGTTTTAATGTGAAAGCTTTTAAAATGGAAAACCTAAAATAATAATAATAATAATAATAATAATAATAATAATAATAATAATAACAACAAAATGGAAGACCTTAACAAACTTTTATTGCATAAAATGATGTTTACTTTTGGGAACTTTGTTCAGATAAAGTGTAGAGATCAGATTAAATGGGGAAAATGTTTTGGTACAAAGTGGGGTGGAGGAGAAAATGCCCATAGTAAAAGAAAGTACAGAATCCGATCGCTCTGTCTACTGAGGTATATCTTAATTTTACCTCCGTGCATTTTTACTAGGCTTTTAAAATCCCCTCCGGGACTGTAAAATACAACTGGCTTTCTCTTCACTCCCTTTTCCTCTGAAAGCAAACCTGTTTAGACGGCTTGGCGTGATCCCCGGCAGGCGGTTTCCCCCAAGGGACATCACGTTTCAGGGGCCCCTTTTCTCTGAGTCGTGGCCCCACTGCCTACCTTGGAAATCTTCCCTCAGTACTGTTAGATTATCATTTTTCTTTTTTATAAAATCCTAATTTCCCCTATTAGATATTCTTTCTATCTACAGACTTCAATTTTGGCATTTCCTTTTCAACTCCTTAAAAAAATATTCCATTGGTAGTGAGTAGTAAATTCCTTACAAACAAAAAATTGCTAAAACTTTAGTAAACTATTTCCCCCACCCAAATCCTGGCAGGCATTTTTTAAAGCATATATTCTCACAGTCTCCAATTCAGCTTCCTTACTTTCCGGAATCTCTTTACCATGTGCCATAAATCAAGCTTTTAACTAAATGAGCTTTTCATATATTTCCACAGTACATATGGGAGATTAAGAGAGGAAGTAAGGTTGTTTGTTTTGTTTTGTTTTTTTCCTTTTTAAAGGGCCACCAAGAAATAGTGTTATCTCTTTTTACTAGATTAAAGTTAACATCTAGAGGGAACCTCAGAGATCAGAGCTGAGAGAAAGATGTTATGGGGGAGATGTGATTCAGATGTATGTGTTTCTTTTTCTAAGAAATGACAGACACTCTTGAGCCACAGCCTGCTAAAGAAACTGTCTACCTCTCAGGCTTCAGGCCCAGCTTCCAGAACCAGAATAGAAGGCCCAATGTGCACTTACTTCTGCCATCTGCCTTGCATACCACCCCCTATGACCAAACAAAATGCTTTCCTC